ATTTACACAGTATATATATATATATATATATATATATATATATATATATATATATATAGAGAGAGAGAGAGAGAGAGAGAGAGAGAGCAGATATAAGGATGGCCTAAACAGATAGGCCAAGGAAAAAACTCTTCGGACCAAGAGCGAATTCTGCAAATGTTAAGGATTAGGATATCATATCTGGTTCGGAACAAACAAAGGCACAAGCTGCAGCAACTAAGTAGGTTGAGAAGACCCCAGATAGTACATGCACAATCATCCAAAATTTTAAAAACCAAAGTAAAACAGCTTTTTATTCATACCTTATTGTCACAGCCTTGGACCTCTCCAACATAACCGTGCAGCAACCAAGCCGACTACTCTCTTCATAGGCGCTGAGCAGTCTCTCCCCCAGGGGTGCAAGCTTAATACTTGAATCCTTACATAGCGTGGTAGTCCAAACAAGCCAAAATGGCCAAGTATATAGTAGATTATCAAAGAGAACGTAACATTTATCGTGTGAGGAAAGAACAAAACCTTATATGCACAACTATGCTTTACAAGTGTTAGTTTTTACAAGAGCTAGACCCTGTGCACTCTATTACCTTCCTACATGAGACGAGCATTTCTGGAAACTTCTAGAATATATTGGACTGCTCTCCACGCTACTTCTGAGCCACATCGGATGGGCACTGTGTCATCTGCAGGTGCACCGCCTCCTTTGTGTACATCCACCTCTGCAACGGATGAGCACCCGCAACAACTCATGGGCCCTATGACCCTCGCAAAGTTGTGGAGCTCAAAAAACAGTAAAACCATGAAACTTTCAAAACATTAGTTTGAAGTTGCTTAAAATCTTAGGTAACTGCTTTTACTCGAGCTCTTCTCTGAATTTAGAGCTTTGCAACAGATTACCATCACACCCGTAGACGATCAGATATGCAACCATGTGCGACTGACTAAAAGGGACTTGCTAACAAGAACGTGAGAATCACATATGTTGCGACTTCTTTCTTTTGGGATCCCACAATCTTACAAATTAACCTGTTTTCATCAAAATATTCATTTTACATTCGTATTTTTCAAACATTTGAGACCAACCAATACAGTGTTTTCTTTTGCATTTCTCTTCACTTGAACCTAAACTACAGGACTACTATCCTAATAAGAAATTGCCAAGCTTGCAGAACACAGGAGATCTATTTACTTCTGAATCAATTCATATTAACAGAAGGCAACATTCAGATGAGGCTCTGTACCAAATGCAGGCAATTATTTTCTATGAGATAAAAGAAATCAAATTTCTTCATTGCTACAAAGTGCAACTAATGGAGCCAGCTCTATATCACTCTCCTCCGAAACACTTTAGAGCATCTCTCTTCATAGTAGATCAAAGATTTGTAAAAATGTAATTCTTTCCCATGACTCCCTGTGTTGCAGTAAAACTGTATCAGGATAAAATTGAAAAGACCTCTTACATCAGAGCTCTTAGCAGAGTGACGAAAATTACGGTACATATAGTTATAATAAATTCACAATCAGAGGCAGGTTTCAATTGTAGATGCTGTCCACCTATCAAGCTCAACTACCTTCTGAGAGCTGCAGTATGAACTTGCACCTCCAGATGTGAAATAAACCATAAGAAAATATCTTCAGATTATCATACTACAGTCAAATCTCTCTATAACAACCTCATTTGTTCCGATATTTTTTGGCTGGTATAGTGAACTAGTGAAGTGTTGTTCTAAAGGACATAATATAATATAACATAATATTCGGTTCCGAAAAAAACTCGATTTTTATAGTGAATGGCTATTATATAAGGATGTTGTTATAGAGAGCTCCGACTGTATATACATAAAACATGTGACGGCAAAAACAATTTGAGGTGCAATCTTTATTTTGATGAAATATGCATTTTGGTAATGGTACTGTACTTAAAGATATCTGGAAATCTTCAAACAACATAGCTCATTTTCCATCTCGATAGTCGATACATTGTTATAGAAGATCTTACCCAATTTATTTCATGAATTCTGTTTTGATATACCTTGAAAGTCGAGCATGTTCAACTGAACCACAAGGATCACTTTACACATGCATAACTATCAGGTTCCACAACTTTTCCATTGTCATTGTTTTATAGCTTTTCTAAATATTAGTGATCCTCCATTCATTCCACAACTTAGCAACTGAATCTCAATGCACAATGACGAAAAACAAGCTTTTATCCTTCATTGAGGAGGCAAGGATATTTCGTATCACTGAATATGGTTTGGACTTTCTTTCACATAGCTCATCTGTGCCTTATATGTCAGTGGGTCTCTTATTAGGACCCATTTCATTTTGATTCCTGACCGTCACAGAAGTTAAGAACTAAGAGTAAGTCATTTCCTGATATTTAGTTGAAACCTTTATGCTTCAAATATGAGAAAACTTATAAAGGATTATGGATACTTTTCCAGATGAGCTAGTTCTTGCCATCTTGTGCGCTTCATGCAGCCCTGACGACTAGCGTGTCCCACAGATTTTTACATTGAATTGCCATAGTTTCTTCTTTATCTCCTCTAATTCCTCCCTCCTCCCTGCCCACATGTAATTCCATCATCTTTCATTGCTATAGACTCTCCTTACATTGCTCATTAAGTCCGAGGATTTCAAAGTCATGGCCTAGACCAAATCCTTTTTCTCTGTTGTCACTTCACAAATATCGGTTCATCCCCTCAAGTCCAACATAATTTTTAAGAGCTTCAATGAAAATTGAATTTTAAGAACGTCTCCAGAGTAAAGGTTTCTTTCAAGTAGCTCTTCATTGAGATGGAAGAGACACTCCTCTGCCCCAGAGAGCTCCTTATTTAGCTTCATGTCAATTTGATGAATATTTTTGGTTTCCTTTGTCCTGGAATATTTGGATTTAAAGGTTACTCCCCAGCACTCTACTGCCTTAATTGCTCGCAGTCGCACACTCAAGAAACTAGTTCGCACTGAAACATGGTCTTTGAACAATCTTACTTGAGCTACACACTTGTAGTAGCACTCCATGTGTGAACCACCTTGAACATCATAACTGCACTTATAATAAGCTCTAATCACTTGTCGCAATCTATCTTACACAACGAGAATCATCAAGGACCCTCACAATCTGTGCCAGTAATACCTCTTAAACCATTTCTTTTAGCTACACGAATCCATGAGAAGAAGAATGTAGTGTATTTCTGATCATTGCCTTTATCTCATCTACAGATATCTACCAAACTATGTCCTATGTTTTTCTTTAATCCCTTCTCTTTTATATGTTCCCTCAACATCTCAATTTCCTTCCACATGCCATTCCTGCCATACAAGTTCGATAGCAGAACATAAACCCCGTCATTTTGAGGGTCCAAATTCAATGCCCTTCGAGCAGCTAATTTACCTAGTTCGACATTGTCAAAGTTATGGCAGGCACTAAGCAAGGCTCCCCACAAGGTAACAGTGAAATTATCATTATCTTTGTAAGATAACTCGTTGATTAGTTTCCATGCTCTATCCAACTCACCTGCACGACACAGTAAGTCAACAACACAACCGTAGTGCTCGGGGCTGGGTTCCAAACTGTAATTAGATGCCATTGATTCAAAGTACTCCATTCCAAGATTTACGTGGCCTGTGTGACTACAAGCAGAGAGAACAGTCAATAATGCTACACCATCTGGTTTGATTCCTTCCATCACCATGTCATTAAACAAACTAATCACTTCTTCAAATTTCCCATTTCTTCCGCAAACACCAAGCATTGATGTCCAAAGAACAACATCCTTCTTTCTTTCTCCACATCTAAAGCCGACCATGTCGAATACATGCCTAGCCTTCTCCACTGACCCACTTTTGCCATACATTTCAATCAACAAACTTTGAAGAAAAACATCAGATTCCAAGTCATGAACTTCTCGAATAACACATCCATGAACTTGCTTACCCAATTCAAATACAGAGAGCCCAACGCAAGCACGCAAAGCAGCTGAAAAAGTGAAATTATCCCAAGATAGATTCAACCATGGCATCTTCCTCGCCAACGCCAGTCCCTCCATCCACATCTTAGCTTCAGAATAGCCCGAAAAAAGTGCGTTCACACACACTGTGTTCTTCACAGGAATTTCATCGAACAACATAGCTGCATTCTTGATACACAAAGACTTAGCATACACATCGACTAAAGCACACCCCACATAAACACTAGAAATCCAACCTGATTTATGCACAAGGGTATGAACCATTTGCCCAAAGTTTACATTTTTAACAGCAGATGAAGCTGTAATGGAGCTACACAAGGTGTATGAATCAATGTCAATTCCACTAAAATGCATATAAGAGAATGTTTTAAGAGCAAGAAAATGAAACCCATTTTGGGAAAAATGGGAAAGAATTGAATTTAAGAGCAAAGGGTTTTTGGGTTTGGGGAATTTGAAGAAGTTGGTTAAGGTTTTAAGGTTGTTATTGTTGGGAAGTGAAGTAGTTGTACATGTAGTAGATATGAGTTTGAACTGAAAGTTAGGGGAGACGAAGATTAATCCTGTTCTAATTAGATGTGCATGAAATACTTTAATGGCTCTCAGATTCTTTGAGCTGCAAAAATGGTGAAAGATGTTAGTGATGGAATAGAAGTTTGGTCCTGTTTCATACTGCGAATGGGATTTAGTGCACATTCTTGAATTCGCGTCAGATAATCAAATTAGTAGTGACGAGTGATTGTTTCCGCCCTATATATATATGGGATAAATACTTGCACAACCGGTGTTTATAGCAAAATTAAGCAAATTAGTCTTAGTAATTACTCCCTCCATCTAAGTTTACTCGTGTACTATACTAAAAGTAAATATTCATTTTTACTTGTCCAGTTTAAAAAATTAATGGATAATTTACCAATTTATACCAATTTTACCCTTCTTATTAAGTTAATACTTATTTCCAATTTATTTTTCAACATATAATAATAAGGGTGATATAATAAAATTACCATGTTATTTATTGTACCTTGAAGGGTGTGCCGAGTCAATAGTAAAAAAGTAAACTTTGACGGAAGGAGTATAATTTAAAGTGAGAACACATTATTAATTATGGGTAAGTGATTAATAAGTATATGAAAGATATTTATTTTGTATTTTATTGGTTTAGTATAAACGCAGCCAAATCGAATTCAATGGAGGCTATAGGGTGAGTGTGGGTAAGATTTTACAAGCTTTCAACTGATACTCCAAAAGATAAATTCACATTGTGTCAAAATTCATTCTCAAATAATCCTTTCATCCAAAAAAAAAAAAGATATTGTGTTTGTACAAAAATAGATTAGCTTAGTATGATAAAATGAATTAAGAATGTGTACTAATGATTTATAGTTATTAAGTAATAAAAGTTACTGTGTACACATATTATGCTATGTATTAGTGTGATGTAAAAATCGGAATTTAGATCATCTACTTGTGTTAGTGTTTAGATATCGGGTCCCTTAATTTTTCAAAATAAAGTTACATGAAAATTCTATTATCATAATTTTTAATTAAAAATATTTAGAAACTGTTTGGAAAATTGAAGCTAAATAAAAAATAAACTACTTGAACTCTCCAAATAACGATAGGAATTGAAGGTCGCCACAGAATATGGGAGGGAATTACATAGCGAAAAATCGAACCTAACCAATTGAGCTACTAAGAAGGTCGTCTTAACTCAATCTTAAGCTTTATTTTTGTATTTATAAATTAAAGTTAACTCTGCATATTATTTTGCAAAATAAAGTGTGTCGCTAACTAATCATACAAGAGGAAGATTGCGGTGACAAATACTCATATAATTCATCATTATAGAGCATAAGAAGATGAGAAACGAGCATAGCATCTTAGAATCAGCTGGAGTTCGTAAAGCATTTCTTAGCCACTTAAAAATTCATTAAAACGTTTAATTTCAGAAGTTCACCGCTGCAAAATAGGAGTAAATTTCTTTCATTTCAACAAAATGAGTATTTTATTTTCATCTTGTAGAAAGATTACTTTCTTTTTCAACTAAAAATAAGTATTTTCTTTTTAGTTATTGTACGAAATGAAGAAGGAATTGAAAATTTTCTCTGTCTATTCCATCATTGTTGTTGTACATGTACATATACACTTACATATGAAGAATAAAGAATGGCAGAAAAGAGAAACTATGTACACTTGTCCTATTCTAATTTGCCTACTAATAACAAATTTATTCTTTCTATCAACTAACTATATTCCCTCACATGTTAGTCACGTGAGGGAAGCTTCTAGTATTAAGACTATCAGATGGTTTCTAATTAATCCATCATGAATTGATTTGCTTGATCCAAAGGTCGTGGGTCTTCCACGTGTTCCAAACAATCCACTGAATATAACCTATGTAATATGGGTTATATCAAAGATAGCCACTTTGGTCGGAGAACAAATGAGATCCTTCTAGGTTGTCTTCTTTTTCATTCCCTCTACTCCATCTGAAGGCAAAGCTCCATGAAAATCAGAATTAAGATGGGGTTTCTTCATCCCAACATTCCCCTCAAGTTGGAGGGGAACTTTGTGACCCCTAATTTGCCCAAAATCTCGTGATGAGAAACCCTAGAGAGAGGTTTTGTGAAGAGATCTGCGAGCTAATCTTTAGAAGGAACAAAAGAAAGAGTGATTAACCCTGAAAGAAACTGTTGGCGCACAAAATGACAGTCAATTTTGACATGTTTTGTGCGTTCATGAAAAACGGGGTTACGGGCGATGTGGATTGCTGCTTTTCTATCAGAGTGAAGAGGAATTGGTAGAGTGACCTATGCAGAGAGATCCTCAAGTACTCGTACTAACCACGTAAGTTCTATAGTGACCCTTCTCATAGATATGTATTCTGCTTCTACAGAAGAAGAAATTGATGTCTACTTCTTTGATTTCCAGGAAATAGGAGTTCCTCCCAGTGTTATGAAGAAACCACTGACGAACCTCCTTGAATCCTTGCAAGAAGCCCAATCAGCGTCACAAAATGCTAGCAAAGAAAATGATGGTTCTGCTGAAAGGAGAATGCCTTGACCCGGATTAGAACCGAGGTATTTGAGTGCTAGTGGAGCAGCAAAGAAGTGAGAAACACATGTTTTCTGCATATATTGACTAAGGGTGAGTACAGCAAAAGAGAGATTCGGTCGAGTATTAGTTAAATAATTTAACTTTCCGATCAAGTGATGAAATACAGTGGGATTTTGCAGGGGCTGTCCATCATCAGCTTGAAGCTTGAAGGAAAGATCCAAAGGGGAGCTGACTCGAGTCAAATGAGACACATCAAACTCCTTCAACATGTCTAAGGTAAATTTCCTTTGACCGACAATGAATCCTGCCTTTTCTCTCAAGATTTCCATGCATAAAAAGTAATGTATATTTCCCAAATTCTTGACTTTAAACTCAGTATTCAGAAAGTTTTTGATGCTTTGAATTTCTTCTAAGTCATCTCATGGGAGTAGTATGTCATCAACATAGATAGCTAGGATAGAAATAAGACTTCCTGTGCGTTTAAAGAACAAAGAGTAGTCATTTAGTGATGAAGAGTATCCCTTAAAACTTAAAGCCCCTGCAAGCCTAATGTAACACCCCGAAAAATTTCGAAGTACTTAAGCGCTATAAAGAAAGTTGATGTGTGCTAATTATATTATTTTGTATGTAGACAAGGGCTATTATAAGAATGATATCAATTGATCATGATAATATATGTATGTGGTGCATTAAGAATAGTTTATGGTCTAATAAGAATCCCAAGGCTAAGTCACGTTGAAAATTTTATGATGGAATAAAGTTTCAAGTGAGTTCGAACAAGATCCTACTTCAAACGCATACTACTACCAAACTATAACTACTTAAGAGGTGATCTACCTATCAAATTAAATACTTTGAGTCTAGTTTCTAAAACTTCAAACCGTTCGTCATTTGGACACTCTTACAAGAAGTTATGTTCAAATTCCCAAAGGCTGGAAGAATGTGACCGTGCTATAACCCTCGCAAAGCCAGGTCTGTAGCGCGCTAGACCGTGCTATATCCCTCGCGAAGCCTAGTCTATAGCTCTATACAGAGCTCGTGAAGCCAGGTCTGTAGCGCGCCAGACCATGCTATATCCCTTGCGAAGCCTGGTCTATAGCTCTACGCAGAGCTCGAGAGCTCACGAAGCCTATTCTGTAGCTTGCTACAGAGCTCGCGAAGCCTGGTCTGTAGCTCGCTATAGACCGTGCCTAGTCTGGTCTGTAGCCCGGTCCGGATTTTTGAAGGTCCATTTTTCTAATTTCATAACCCGACCCTAGTTACTGTAAAACGATCTTTGGGTCATTTTGGAGGGATAATATGATATTTTTAGAGAGGGGAAAGTGCCCTAGAGTGAGAGGAGGAATTCCTAAGCCCTTGTTCATCAAATCTTGCTCAAGCCTTGAAATCCAACAAGAAATCCCTCAAGTTCTTCATCTAAGAGATTGAAGTTGCTAAGAATTCTGGAATATTTTAGAGTTTAAGGAAGCTCAATTAAGGTATGTTAGCTAAACTTCTTTCCTAGAATTGAATCCCATGATATTCTTGTAAGTCCCGGGTTATTCTTTATAAATCAACTATTTCGAATAAGCTTTGTGTTGAAAGATATATATTCAAAATATATTTCAGATGCTCTTATCATATGATGATATCCTTCGGGAATGTGTTCAAAGCATGAAATGGGGTATAAAAATGTTATGACTCCAAGTAGTGTTTCAAGTGAAGGCTATTATGCCAAATTGTGTAAGAAGTCTCAATGTGCATAAGACTCTTAATTTCTCAAAGATGTACTAAAAGTCATGATTAGGGATTACTTGTTGTCGATAATCTATATAGATGCTTGAAAGTGAAAGTAGTGAGTTGGGGATATAAAGTGTGAAGTAGTGAGTTGGGGATATAAAGTGTAAACACCATGCCAAGAATGAAAGTTATACTTGTGGCCAATAGCGCCAACGAAATGAAATGATGTGTGAAATATTATGAAATGAGCCTTGATTCAACTATTTCGAATTGACTCCGAAAATAGAATTATCCAAAAGCTTATGTACTCAAGTCATGTCCAGATATGGTTGTTCTAATTATTCTATGGTTGGTAGGTATTTCCAATATGTTTTGAATTCTTACATATTCATGAATTGAAATTGTGTATTGCCCTTTTTGGGAAAAGGTATTTCAAAAGTATTCTATATAATGATAATCCTTGAAAGTAAAGAAATGAAAGTGCGAAATATGATATACGGCCACAGTGCCATAAAAGAAGAATCATATGTATGGCCAAGAGAGCCAATGCAATAATAATGTTGTAAGTGGTTGAAAGTACGGATTAAGTGATATATGGTGTGAAAGGTTATGAGATGTACGTATATGTACTTTTGTTTCTAATGTGTTATATTATAAGACCCTACGTTCTTGCGAGTAAAGACTATGATCTTCCTAAATGTTTTAAATGCTCTTAATGTTCTATGATCACCCATGGCAAGTACATGTAAGTGATAGTATGAACATGAAATGTGGTCATTGCCTAAATGAGAATTATGAAGTGTTGTATGTACCAATGGTTTCAACTATAGTTTTATGCTTCTGAAATAATATATGTAAATGACTTCGATTGTTAAGCCCCCAATAGTCATAAACCTAGATAATGACCTCAAGAGGTCAAGGGAGTGAATAATGAGATGGAAGAGAGATGTCCTTTGTTAAATGATGATGAACCTTAAGAAAAGGAATTGGGCCCATGTGCCATTGAAATCGATTTATTGATTTACCATGCATGTGCTAATGTAATGAGTTGTGTTTCTCCATGATGAGCATGAACATGAAGTATTCCAATGATATGAGAAATTACGACCTTAAATGTAATGACAAACTATGTCGCTTTGAGTTTATATATGGTATTGTGATTGGGATTACATCTCCACCCGCATATATAGGGGTGAGGAGGCATGACCGTTTTGTGTAGGGATTGTGGTAACGTGGAATACACCTCCACCTGCATATATTGGGGTGAGGCGGCATGACCGCTTTGTGTAGAGTTTTGGTATTGTGGAATACACCTCCACCCGCATATATTGGGGTGAGGTGGCAGGACCGCTTTGTGTAGANGAGTTTTGGTATTGTGGAATACACCTCCACCCGCATATATTGGGGTGAGGCGGTATGACCGCTTTGTGTAAGGATTTTGGTATTGTGATACACATCCACCCGCATATATTGGGGTGAGGCGGCAGGACCGCTTTGTGTAGGGATTATGGTATTGTGATACACCTTCACCCGCATATATTTGGGTAAGGTGGCAGGACCGCTCCGTATAGGGATTGTGGTATTGTGATACACCTCCACCCGCATACATTTGGGGTGAGGCGGCAGGACCGCTCTGTGTAGGGATTGTGGTATTGTGATACACCTCCACCCATATATATTTGGGTGAGGTGGCATGGCCGCTTTGTGTAGAGATTATGGTATCGTGATACACATCCACCCGCATATGTTGGGGTGAGGCGGCAGGGCCGCTTTGTGTGAAGGTGATTATAGAGGATCCCTGACTTAATATCTATAAATTTGAATGGAAGCTCTTAATAAATTTGATTGACGTTAACGGCTATCTAGGCCCTTTTATTATTACAATGATTCATCATATTCATGTTGTATTTCTAAGCCCTTGAATAGGTATATTTGTACTATGTAAGTGAACACTGTGAATGGTCATGAAACGCACAGGTGTATTGTATAGGTGATACTGTTAACGGTCTATGAGACGCATAGGTGTATAATATGATATGTGAACACAAAGGACGGTCTATGAAATGTATATGTGAAAAATAAGAGAGGAATGTGCCACTTTTATTGGCCTTGTTTGTATATGTTTTTATAATTACATTATATTATATATTCCACGTATAGTTCATATGGCTCGTTGGTCCTAAAAGAAGTTTAGAATGATGCAAGTATAATAAGACTTGAAATGTTACCCTATGGGATGTTTCGTAGTTTCTTGATGTACTTTATTTGCCTATTATTTGAGTTACTGTATTTTCATATGTTATTTTGACTGCCTTACATACGAGTACTATTCCACATGTACTCACGTCTCTTTTTTCGGGGGCGCTGCATCTTTTAATGGATGCAGGTATACTTTCACAGGATGATATGGATCTTTGATAGGGATCTTCTTCACTACTCAGCTTATGGTGAGCTCGCTACAAATCCAGTGGGTATTCGAGTCTAGTTGGTTTTATGTACTTAGGTATCTATTGTCATAGAAGCTCCATGTACACTGTGGGTCATGTAATTAAAGTTTTGAGTTTTGTCATATATTTATGTTCACGGTATTTACAGCTATTTATAAAGTTGTGTACCCACCATGAGAAAGACTTTTAGGCCATTGAGCCAAATGTATTCAACTTGAAAGTCAAGATCTAATTATGTTATGGTAAATCATGCATGAGTAATGATGAGAGGTTAATATAAATTAGGCTTGCTCGACTGGGTTTACTCGGTTGAGCGCCGGTCGCGCTCCTCGATTTCGGGGCGTGACACCTAACATACCATTGTCTGGAAGCCTGTTTTAAATCATATAATGATTTCCTCAATAGGCAGACATGTCTGGGTCTAGGAGGTTCTAATCATGTTGGGAACCTCATGTATACCTCTTCTTGTAGATCCCCATGTATAAATGCATTGTTCACATCTAATTGAGATACATTCTATTCTTTCTTGGCTGGAATAGTGAGTAGACACCTTATGGTTGTCATCTTTACCACTGGTGAGAAAGTCTCACTATAATCTATCCCTTCTCTTTGAATATTCCTCCTGACTACTAACCTTGCCTTCAACCTTTCAATTCTTCAATCTGATAAGTGTTTTACCTTGTACACCCATTTATAAGGTAAAACTCTTTCTCCTTTAGGTAATTTAACCACATCCCATGTGTGGTTATCCTCTAGAGCTTTAATCTCTGCATGCATAGCTTCTATCCAACCTAGATGTTGACAAGCCTGGATGAAGGTATAAGGTTCTGTTAGGGTAGAAAGGTATTGCATTACATGTTGATTATTAAGTGAGAGAGATAAAAAAAAAATATTCCCTAAGCTTGCAAGGTTGAGCAAAATAAGATGTGGTTACATCTGTGAACATGATACTACTACACACATAGCCTTTCAAGTAAATTGGTTGATTAGAAACCCTTCCTGACCTTCTCAATGGCATAGGTTCCTGAGGTATAAGAATAGGTGAGCTGGTGTGTGGTGAATCTAAGATAGGGGAAAATGGAATTGGGCTAGGAGATACTTGATGATGATGAGGAGTATATGAAGGGCTTGATGGTGGTGGTGAGAAAACATCTGTTACTGCAGATTCTGAGGAAGTAGGTAATGAGTGATCTTGTGATGTGGTTGAATAGGTAGGTTCTGTGGTGAAAGTTGAGGTTGGAAAAATAGGATAGTGTGGTGTGTTGATTTGAGCAAAAGGGAAGTGTGCTTCATGAAACTTTATATCCCTTGACATAAAAACTTTCCTTGTATACAGCTCCAGTAGTTTGTATCCCTTCTGTTGAAGAGGGTAACCAAGCAGAACATAAGTTGTTGCCCTCTCATTAAACTTACCTCTTCTATGTGCTAATGTAGAAGCATAACATAGGCACCCAAAGTTCCTCATACTTAGGTTTTTGCTGAAATAGGACCCCATATGGTATTTTTCTATTGAGAGCACTAGAAAGTAATCTATTTATAAGATGTGTGGCAGTCAAAATGAATTCACCCTAATATGACATAGGCAGCATGGATTGGAACATTAAACCTCTAGCAATCTCTAAAAGATGTCTATGTTTCCTCTCAACAATCCCATTTTGTTAAGGAGTTGCTACACAAGATAGTTGGTGCAGAATTTCTTCTGAAGCTAGAAAAGCTGCCTCTTGTGTGCCTTTCCCCAATTCTAGTGCATTGTCAGATCTTATCATTCTCATTTTTACATTGAATTGTCTCTCAACCATGGACATGAAAGATTTAAGCATAGGAAAAGCATTGCTCTTAGAACATAATAAGAATGTCCATGTTCCTCTACTATAGTCATCTACTATAGTAAGAAAATATCTGAATCCATTATAGGTACTTGACTTTTAAGGTCCCCATGTGCCTATATGTGTAAGATCAAAAATATGTTTAGATTTAATGGTGCTGACAGGAAAAGGATTCCTTGTCTGTTTAGCCTTAGGACAAACATCACAAATAAATTCAGAACTTGAGTCACAATGAAGGAAATCTAAATGTTTCATTGCTGAAAATGGGAGATGTCCCAACCTTACATGCAAAGCTTAACATTAAGAATAACATTAACATGAACTCGACTACAAACAGACACAGATTCTGAAATAGAATTTCTTCCTTTTTGAATTGAAGATACATTAGTACTGAATAGACCCTTAGACTTAAGACTACTTGGTTCTAATATGTAGAGTCCCTCTCTAACTTTACCAAAAGCTTGTGTACTCTTCATTGAAAGGCCCTGCACTATACACCCAATAGATGTGAATAGGACATCATATTTGAACTGAATACAAAACCTATGAACTGACAATAGATTGTATTTGAAATCTGGAACATGTAGCACATTGCTCAATACATGACCTGGTAGAATAGAAACACTTTCTATATGAGTAACAATTATTTTGAAAGAATTAGGTAAAGATGTTCAAAGGTACAGGAAGTTGAGTTAAAGACAAGAAAGAGTTGGGATCAAAACACATGTGCTATGAAGCACCTGAATCAATGATCCAGGTGTCTGAGTTTAGAGTAGTAAACACTGAACCTGAGTATTTTAGAATAGTACCAGCAACTGCATTTGCATTGATTCTTGAGTTTCCTGCATGTGCCAACTTTGCCTGCTATACATGCTCATCATTTCTGCAAATTGTTCCTTGTTGAGTTGCTGCCCAAAGTTGATATTGTTGTGTTCAGTGCTTTGTCCTCCTGCATTCTCATGCTCTTCATGTGCTAAAACTGCATTTCCCTTGATCAGATTTTGATAACCTTTGTGATTGGTAAATTCAAAATCATCTGGAAATCCAATGATTTTGTAGTAGTCTTCCAGTGTATGTCCTGTTTTTTCACAATAAGTACAAGATACATTTGGATTATACTTCTTCTTTCCCTTAAACTTCTGGTGAAGTTTAGTGAACTTCTGCCCTGGATTGTTATATTTAGGTTCCATGACTGCTCCTCTTTGTACTTGGTTTCTATTTTTCTGAAAATTTCTTCCATGTCATGTGACCATAAAAGCTGCAAAATCAGCTAAAAGCTAGGCATTAGGCTGCTTTGCCTCTCCAACTACCATAAATGAAAGTGAATCAGAGTTGATGTGTGCATTTGTATAAACTTCTATTTGATTTTCATCTTGCAAAAGTAGTGAATAGGCAACATTCATGGTAGGCAAAGGATTCATCATGAGTATATTTCCTATTGCTTGTGCATAAATGTCATTCAAATCCATTAGGAATTGAATCAACCTCTGGTCTTCAAGTGACTTAGTTAACTTTGATTTTCTTTCACAAACACAAACACATGAATAACATATGATAACATTTAAAGCATCCAATTCATCCCACAATCGTTTGAGTTTAGTGAAGTATCTTGCAATGTCACTATTACCCTGTACTAATTCTGATAGCTCCTTTTGCATATGATACAGCTTGGCTCCATTTGATCTTCCAAATCTCTGCTCCAGACTGTCCCAAAGCTCTTTCGCAATTTTGGAGTACATTACACTGTCTACAATGTCCTTAGAGAGAGCATTTAGAATCCAAGATATCACCATATCATTGACACGGCTCCATTGCTCATGATCTGGAGACTTCAGATCTGTAGATTGACAAGCTCCATTGATGAAACCAAGTTTCTTCTTGGCTGACAAAGACAACAGAATAGATCTCCTCCATCCTGGATATCCTATTCTATCAAACACAGTGTTGACTAGAGTCATCCCAGAAGAATCAAAATTGTTAAGATGATTGACATCATAGCTGACTGCCTTTGCAACATTACTGGTATCACCAATGATGGTTGTTTCAGACATCTTAGTTTATTGATTATGAAAATGAATTTGACGTAAATGAACTAGATGATTAAACTGTTGGATCGAGCTTATTTCTCAGATACCATGTACGAAATGAAGAAGGAATTGAAAATTTTCTTTGTGTATTCCATCATTGTTGTTGTACATGTATATATACACTTACATCTGAAGAATAAAGAATGGCAAGAAAGAGAAACTATGTACACTTGTCCTATTCTAATTTGCCTACTAATAACAAATTTATTCTTTCTATCAACTAACTATATCCCCTCACATGTTAGTCACGTGAGGGAAGCTTCTAGTATAAAGACTATCAAATGGTTTATAATTAATCCATCATGAATTGATTTGCTTGATCCAAAGGTTGTGGGTCTTCCACGTGTTCCAAACAATCCACTGAATATAACCTATGTAATATGGGTTATATCAAAGATAGTCACTTTGGTCGGAGAACAGATGAGATCCTTCTGGGTCGTCTTCTTCTTCATTCCCTCAATTCATCTGAAGGCAAAGATCCATGAAAATTAGAATTAAGATGGGGTTTCTTCTTCCCAATAGTTATGGAGCATAAATTTTAATGTTGTATTTGCGTAAAAAATTAAAATAAAATATTAGTTCCTTTGGGTTTGTATGAATNGGAGGGAGCACATGAAACATGGGGACTTGGGGGAAGGGGCGAGGAGAGTAGCATAAAAAAATATTTTCTACTCTCTACCAAACACTAGAAAATATTTTTCAAAAATTATTTTTTTCACTCACCAACCAAACAAAGGAAAATAAGTAATAAAATCACTCATTTTTTATGGTGACCACTACTGAAATAAAATGACAGAACAAGTATCACACTAATTGGAAAGTATTAGTAATAAGTTAAAGCCATATTAGTTCAAGAACTGCATGCCCTTCCTTTTCTCATAATGTGCAATAAAGGATATCTCATAATCAAATTGCAGTAGTTGTATAAGTTGTATTTATTCTTTCTCCAAAAAGAATAAAATAGGGGTTGTCCCAAGATGCTGCCAAGGATGGTCTAAACTGTAGATAATTGAAATATGTGGCATCTCAAATAGCAATAATATCCTAATCCTATCCTAAGTAGATCAACTATATAGGGATGGATTTACTTGCTGATTTGTTAAGACTGCACTAAAATCTAATGATTTCTATAATACACACACAAATAATTATGGATATGGTGGACTGTGTGAAAAGAAAGGAATGCTAGGTGCTTTGAAGATAGGAGCAACTCTACATAGAAAATTAAGATAAATTATTTTTTGTCTTTTCGTTTTTGGTGTAAAGATAATTTTGTATAGGATGCAGAGACATTAATTAAATTTTTTCATTCCTTGTAAGTTGAGCAAGGTCTTTTATAATTGTATATATTGATGCCAGCACCAACCTGGTGTTGATGAATATATTGTTACCTTTCTCAAATAACAACTATGCCTCAATCCTAAACAAGTTGGAGTCGGCTATATGAATTCTTACTTTTCTGTTTAAGCTCAACTCACGTTATCATCATACCAAATAATGTTACCTTTCTCAAAGAAAAATACTCATTATCAGAGCATTAATGTCTTTCTTAGTGCCATAAGTTGGATAACAGTAGAATCCAACAAAGACCACTCTACGTAATTTATTTCGGATTAGTGTTGACTAGTAGCTGCATATTTTTAAGAGAAAAACCAACAATGAGAACTCTGCATCTTTCTTGCCAAATGCTGTAGCTCTACTACATAAGGAGCTAATTGACCACAGCAAGCGCAGTACAACTTAGATCAATATTAGAAACATAAAATTATGTGCAGATTGCAGCATCTTACTAATTAGATCACTCTAAAATAACACAAGTGGATGAGATTTGGCAAGAATTGGCCACTTTTGAATACTTTATTCTGGCTCAATGCGTTTGGAGACCTTGAGACTGAAGCACAAATATTTTATCGCAAGCAATTATAAATACAAGAAAATGAATGAAACCATAAGGTGCAAAAGGCTCAGTACTTCAAATACTTTAAATAGAAAAAGTGGCTCAAGAATGATATGAGGATCACAGATCTCTTCGCAGGTTCTCATCAGTATAAATGACAAAGTGGCCCTAGGAAACATATTTGGAAATAGAAGACCTCTTGTAACGATCCGGTCGGTCATTTTGAGTATTATAATCCCGTTTCTTCATTTACTACTCAAATTGTACTTTACAGTTGTTGTATGAATTGCCGGGGTAATTGGTTCGGGTCCGGTGAGGTTTTGGAATGAATTGGAATACTTTATTTCAAGGTTTAAAGCTTAAGTTAAAATAGTGACCGGATGTGGACTTATGTGTAAATGACCTCGGATTCGAATTTTGATAATTTCAATAGCTCCGTATGATAATTTTGGACTTAGGAACATATCCGAAAAATTATTTGGAGGTCCGTAGTAGAATTAGGCTTGAAATGCCGAAATATAAATATTTGGGAAGTTTGACCGGGGGATGACTTTTTGATATCGGGGTCGGAATCCGATTCTGGAAATTAGAATAGGTCTATAATGTGAAATGTGACTTGTGTGCAAAATTTGAAGTCATTCCGGATTGATTTGATGTGTTTTGGAACAAGACGTAGAATTTAAAAGTTCAAAGTTCATAGATTTTGATTTGAGGTGTGATTCGCCATTTTGATGTTGGTTGATATGATTTGAGGCCTCGAGTAGGTCCGTGTTATATTATGAAACTTTTTGGTATGTTCGAACGGGGTCCCGAGGGGCTCGGGTGAGTTTCGGATGGTTAACGGATCAAATTCAGACTTAGAAGAAATATGGAAAATTTTTGTCTTCTGGTGTGATCACACTTGCGAGGAATTGGTTGTAGGTGCGCTGTCGTAGATGCGGCCCTTTTTTTTCCTCAGAAGCAGAGCTGGGCTAGATTGGGCAGGGCGCAGGTGCGAAGGAGTTAACCGCAGGTGCGAGCGAGGCTCCGCATATGCGAAATTGAGGGAGAGGCAGGTCCGCAGATGCGAACCTTTGAGCGCAGAAGTGCGACCGCAGGTGCGGTCCTTGGCATCGCAGAAGCAATTATGGCTGGCCAAGCTGTTCTCGCAGAAGCAAAACTTTTCCCGCAGAAGCGAAGGTCGCAGATGCGACCCCTTGTCCGCAGATGCGGAAATCGCTGGGTCAGAACCTTAAATTCGAGGGTTCGACATTTTCACCCATTTTCGGATTTTGGAGATCGGGTTGGGCGATTTTGGAGAGGAAATTTTTCACACAACTTGAGGTAAGTGTTCTTAACTCCCTTGTGATTATATTCCATGAATTAATCTTCATTTTTGGGGTAAGATTATTGAATCTTCAAGAGAAATAGAAGGAAATTTATATAATGTCACAAAACGAATTTTTCAAGTTTGAATACCGATTTGGAGTCGGATTTGAGTGAAATTAGTATGGTTGAACTTGTAATTGGATGAGTTGTCGTATTTTGTGAGTTTCGTCTGATTTCGAGAGGTGGGATCCACAGTTGATTTTTGGGGCGTAATTTTGGATTTTGTGGAAAATATTAGCATTTTGATATGGAATTAATTATTATAAATTTTGTGGACTAAATCAAATTAATTGTAGTAGATTCGAGCTGTTCGGGAGTTGATACGCGCATAATGGGATTCTGGAGCATTGTTTAGCTTGCTCGACATTGGATTCGGCTTGTTCGAGGTAAGTAACTCTTCTAATCTTGGAGTTGAGGGTATGGACCCTGAATATATGTATTTCGTGAATTGTTGGGAGGTGATGCACATGCTAGGTGACAGGCGTGTGGGCGTGCACTATAGAAATTATGACATAATTCTTTCTGTGAAATTTTGTAGTTAAATGATCTTGGCATTTTCCATGTGGTTTTATGAGTTAAAGAAATTGAGCTGAAAAGCATATTAAAAATCATGTTTAGGCTATGTGCCAGTATTTATTGGGACCCACAGATGTCATATTATTGTGAATTATTTATTTTAAATTGAAAATTCATACTCAGTCATATTCATTTCATTGCATGTCATATCTCAGTCACTGTTGTTATTTATTGATACATCATATCATCATTTTGGGCTATTCTCATGACATTGTAAGCCCATGAGAGAGAGACTGGAGAGATTGATGACTGCAGGAGGCCGAGGGCCTGATTGTGAAGATTTTTTTTTTTTAGGATCGGGCTGCACGCCGCAGCAGGCCATGTTGGCTTTATATATTATACTATTGCACGTGAGTTGGCCGTGCAGCACGTGAGTTGGCCGTGCGGATCCATATGTTATACTATTGCACGTGAGTTGGCCGTGCAGTACGTGAGTTGGCCGTGCGGATCCAGATTTTATTATAGCATGTGGGTTGTCCGTGCAGCACGTGAGTTGTCCGTGCGGATCCAGATATGATATTATAGCACGTGAGTTGTCCGTGCTTATAGAGTTTGGGCTGTAGGAGCCCCTCATGAGTCTATACACACCCCAGTGAGCGCAGTCGACTATAAATAGGGATCGGACTGCACGCCGCAGCAGGTATGGTATAGCGCTGAGTGATTGAGTGTGCTGAGCATAGTGAGAGAGAATGCGAGGCAGTGAGATTGAGTACTCTAAGAGTGTGAGTACATGAGTACAATCTCTGAGATACATTGCATTGACATGCACACATGACATATATGCATAGAGATGTGTTTTCCTCATGCTGTACAGTATCATATTATTCATGATTTCTCACACATGTTGACAGATGGGCATAGTGATGCATTTGTTTTACATGGGTTATCTGGAAAGAAAATGAAACATATCATTTATTATTGAATGGATTTTGGAAAAATTATTGCTTTCAAACTTATTCATATTTTTGGAAATTTCGGTAAACGATTTGGGTTTTTCACTAATGTACTTGAAAGGAAGAACTATTATTTTTGAAATCATGATTTGGCTGAGCATTTTATCTCTGAGTTACTTCTGGTATTATTTGCTTTATGTTGTTATGGAGTGTTGTGGACTAGTGGTTTT